TGGGAAGCAATCAATATTTTTTCATTTCATGCCAGAAAGTTCTCAGTTCCTTAATAGATTTATTCTTTTAAACGGGTTTGTTTTCAGATATATTTCATTACATACAGAGATGTTGGGGTCATATCAATTAGAAGAAGAGTAGAAGAATGAGAGGCTCCAAGGAATTGTCTACAGGAAGAAATATTAGAAGACTCAAAAATTCAGACCCAATGACTCATTGTGAAGGCCTCTGCACTTGATTCTCCACACTCTAAATGGACTTCAGGCTGGTTGTTCTTTTTTCTTCTTTACCTATACAATAGTACCAAGGTTATAGGAGATTTTACAGAGACTTAAAAATAAAAAAAAAGATCTGGAAAGATCAGACAGCTCTGATCCAAATATCCCACAGCCAAGTGTCAGACAAAGGCTAGAATTCATACATTTTCTGATCCTCAGTATAATTTGCTTTCCTAAATTTTGCTCTATCCCAGTTGACTCTCCTCAAATATATAGCTCCTTAAGAATAATTGCACAGTTACTATTAATATGCAAATTATTAACCAAATACAGAACCTCATGCCCTCTTCTTATGTACTCAGAAATGCCTGGTTGCTCATTAAAAACAGAAATTCTAAGGTGCCACACCCAAGTCTACTGAATAAGAATTTCTTTGGGGAGCAACCTGGGAATTCACATTTTGATAAGTACCTTACTCAAGTGATTTTTCTGATCTTGAATCATGTGGCAGGTATTATTTTTCACATCCAACCTCAGTTTTCTTATCTGAAATAGCTATGAAGTCTAAATTCTAGAAAAAGAAATGGAAGATAATGATGGTAGCATTTTCCCTTCCTGTTGAGCATTTCCTTCTCATGAGTTCATAGTCATTTTGGAATCTACCAGGTCCTTAGGCCCAATAAGGGATTCTAGAAACTTTATCTCATCCAAGGTGTTTTTAGACTGATATCTATTCAAAATGAACTCTGGCAGAAAGGTAGCTATCTTCTGTATATGTGTTGGTGGTGAGAGATATGACAGTGTACAGAAGACTTAGAATAACTTCATTTATCTCATGGTTTTTGTAGGTTAGGAAATTCAGGGGCACGTGAGCTTCTCAGGCACTTTCATGAGGGTACTGTCAAGATATGCTGTAGTCACTCAAGGTTCAACTGGGAAAGGATCCACTGCCAAGTTCATTCACATAGCTATTTCAGATAAGAAAACTGAGGTTGGATGTGAAAAATAATGAAAAAATATTGATTGCTTCCCACCTGTTAGCAACGAAATTCCATCCAGTTAATTAACCTGCTCAGTGATAAAGTTTATTTTTGCCCTTCACCTTCAGCTCCAAATCTTTAAAACCATTAAAACAAGTACCTGGTCAATGAATAAATCTTCCCTAGAGTGGCATTTAGGCCTTCTGTAATCTGGCTCCTTCACTTCTAGTTACTTAGCTTCAATCCCCTTCCAGCCCAACCAAATGGAGAGCTAAAGTATTCAGTGTTTCTACTGCAGGAATGTGCTTTCTTCCTTTGAATTCTATATACTTTAACTCAGTTCAAATGTCTTTTCTTGAAAAAAGCTTCCTAGAGATCTGGCATCTATCTCCATCTCTCTCCCCCACCCCTCTTCTCACCTCTCCTAATTGCTGCCAAACTGTGTTACCTCCCAATTCAGAACACTCCTAAAACTTCTCAGACTTTGTTGCACTTATTATTTTATGCTTTTCATTATGAGTATGTACATAGAAGACCCTACAAGATGCAGTTCCAACCAACTCATTTTTGTGCTCTCTTTATCTTCCAACACCATTGCTTACCTATGGTGTTCAGTAAATACTGTTTGAATGTTTAAATGGAGATCCATTGATTTAACATTTTCTTTATGGTTGTTTTTACTCTCGGGGCTCATGATTCAACACCAACATAAGGAGAGTCTAACTCAGTGAAATGTTTTTCAGGATTCCCATTATATACACAATAGAGTTCTCAAGCCTCTCAGTCTCTCCAAAGACAATCTTATTGTTTTATCCCACCCTTGGCAACTTATTGTTTATACAAATCTTTATTCTTTCAGTGGAAGGTTTGGAAGAAGTGGTCTTATTATGAACATCACCCATTTCTATGACTCTGAAGATAGGCTTCAGATGGCTTTTCTATTTTGTGCTCCAGTTCACTTGCATACCACATTTGGAACTAGCATTTTATGAATATAAACCTAAATATCAATTTTAGACAAAGCAGATATTTTGTTATGTATGTCACACATATTTATCTAGACCAAAGGGGAGAAATATGTAACTTCACTGGAATAAAAAATATCTATTTATTCATAAAGCTAGTTTTTGTCATCTACTGGACTCTAGGTGTGGTGTTATATGCTGCTGATACAAATATAAATACTGGTCCCTTCAAGGAGCTCTGAGTCATATGAAGGGAGGTGAATGAGATGATTTTTATAGCAAATTACACAATGCCAGAGGCGGATACAGGGTGAGTGGAACACAGATGATTTTCAATAAAGAAGTTTATTTTCATAGCACAGTGTCCATACAGATATCAATAATTTAAGCATTATTTTGTAGTTATTAAAAGCATCAGCATCATTTTCAAACCACTCATCTTGGGCAGGGTCTTAGCATCCATAGTGTGTACTGGGGCATGATTCAGATAAGCAGCCATGCAGGGTTAATCAAGACCCAGACGTAAATTCTTGTTCCTTAGAGTTTATAAGGAATGAATCATTCACGGAGATGTCAGCAAAGGGGTAGTTTGCTTATGATTCATTGGGCTGAACTTCATGCCAATGATATTTTGGTGCAGAGATTTTGCATGGCGCTGTGTCTATGGTTTCAGTGTTTCTAGACACATTATCACAGCTGTATAGATGACTCATTGGAATATCTTCCCCAAGTCTATGACCCTAGATGTGTGTATGTATGTGTGTGTGTGTATGTGTGAGTGTGTGTGTGTGTGTGTGTGTGTGAGAGAGAGAGAGAGAGAGAGAGAGAGAGAGAGAGAGA